CACGTGTGTCTCTCATATATAATTTGTGTTTGTGTGCGACACGTCACTTCACGATAAGCGCACAACAACTACCGAGAAGATTGTCGGGAAGATTGTCGGGTGATCAACTCCAGTCACCCAACAAATGTCGGCATCTGCTGTCGGCTTTAGCATCATTTATATATTCCCAAATCCCACTCCCACTTCCCTCCCATGACGCGTGAAGTTAATAATTGACCCTAGTGAGTGTAGCGTTCTTTATTTCTCCTTTATGCGTTCAGTAAGGGATCTATTCTACGACTAAACAGTTAGTGAAGTTATTTTTTTGTGTGTTCTCTTTCTCGTCTGATAATTCTTCATCGTCAAGTCCTTATGTTCCTTTTCGATTGCACACACGTGTGCTTGTCAGTCATTAGCGTCCGCGCGGTAATTGGATGTTCGGTACTTAGGTGTAAAGAGCAGTGTCCACGTGAGAAGGAATTGGCTGGATTTCAGTTCCAAGTTCTTGTTCAACACGATAAAGATTAAATCTATCCTCATACGTAATCATGTTAATTGCCAACCCCAAATGTCCAAATCTTCCGGACCTACCAATGCGATGCAAATACGTCTCACTGTTGCGCGGGAAATCAAAGTTGATTACCACGTTCACCGACTGAATATCTATGCCTCTTGTAAAGAGATCTAAAAAACCAAACAGTTAGTTACGTCATTTAGTTTGGTCGTGTGAGTTAGTGTGTGAGCTAGTGTGTGAGCGTACCAGTGCTAACTAAGCATCTGCATGCTCCATTCCTGAAGTCATGGAAAACGCGGTTTCGATGACTTTGTATCATTCTGGCGTGTATGAAGAAGCAGGAGTAGCCGAGTTGGGTAATCTTTCTGGCTAGTAGTTCGACGCGAGCCACGCTGTTGCAGAAGATGATGGCTTGGTTGATTTGTAGTTTGCTGAAGAGAGTATTGAGGCAATGTACCTTCTGTCTTTCCTCTACGAATGCATAGAATTGGGTAACGCCTTTGAGTGTGAGTTCTTCCATGAGATTAATTTCATGTGCATCAGGCAAATATTTATCCCTGAAGTCACGCACGTTGACGGGGAATGTAGCTGAGAAAAGTAATATCTGTCGATACTCTGGTAGGAAGGAGAGTAAGTCTTCGCAGATAGGTTGCAGTTCGTAGCTAAGAAGTTTGTCTGCTTCGTCGAGTATGACAACGCCGCATCCACTGAGGTCTGCAACGTGTTTTTCGGCCAGGTCTAGGATGCGGCCGGGTGTTGCGACAAGCACGTGAACGGGAGAGTAGAGACGCAGAATGTCTTCGCGGAGACTGGTGCCACCGGTAGATACCATACATTGCACACCCATGTGTTTTCCCAGCTCCTTGACCACGGAGGAGGTCTGGAGAGCCAGCTCACGAGTGGGAACGAGGATCAAGGCCTGGATATTCCGCTTCTGGATCGAAATGCGCTCCAGTACCGGCACCACAAACGCAGCCGTCTTGCCAGTACCGTTCTTAGCACGCGCCAGGATATTCCGGCCAGCCAACGCCAGCGGGATTGACTCTTCTTGGATCGGTGACGGCTTTTCAAAACCCATGTCGTAAATTCCCATCAGCAACTCGCGATTCAGAAAGAAGTCATCAAACGACGTACCTCTCGTCTTGGTCACATCCTCCGTCTTCACTCGCAAATCCTTCGCCGCCGGTCGAGATACACCCGACCACCCATCCCCACCCGCTGCCACCTTCGTACCTGACGACGCTGGCGCCGTAGACTCCGGACTCGCCAATGCCACCGCAGGCGGCGCACCAGCGTTCGCTTCGCTTGTCATATCTCTGCTCGTAAAATAAAACCCTTACAAATTATTTGCCGGCGACACACGACCGCGCACACACATCACACACCCCCTGCCCCAGCCTCCTGGCAGCATACCAGGGAGATACCCCCGAAGAGAATACCCCAGAGAACACCCAAGAATGTGCTTCTATGTCTGTCTATCTATCTACACTATCTAATACCCTGTTCATGCCCTCCTGTTCATGCCCTCCTGTTCATGCCCTCCTGTTCATGTCCGCTCCAGGCCCTTCCAGCCTTGCCCAGATCGGCTAGCTAGCTAGCTAACTGATTCGTGGGCACAATGGTCGGATTCACAGGCGGCGGCTGCTCCAGACTCTCCACACTCTCCACCACACAGGCTGTCCCGCCGACCGTGTTCGCATGATCCAGGCTGTTCACCTGTCGGGTCACACCCGCCGTCCGGTACCAGTCGAGGTTTTGCACCATCGTGTTCTCCTGCGCCTCACTGTTCGCCTTCGCGCCTGCCAGACCCTGGCCCGGCTGCGCGGCGCTCAGGGGCAGCTGGAGCGGGCCCACTGGCTGTAACATGACCGGCTGAGCATTCATGGCCTGTGTGCTCATTGCTTGTACGTTCATTGCTTGTACGTTCATTGGCTGGCCATTGCTCACTTGTTGCACACCGTTCGCTTGTTGCACACCGCACGCCGGAGGTGCGTTTATTGCCGGCTGGTTCATACTTAGTTGTTGCGCATTGCTCGCTGCCGGGTCCCATCCTGAGTCGCTGTTTGTGGTTTGTTGGGGAATGTTCCACCCTCCGAAGGGCTGTGGCAGTGACAGTGTCGACTGCGGAACCGATATCGACTGCGGCAAGGACACCGTTGACTGTGGCATCGATATCGACTGCGGCAGCGTGTGGCCCCAGTATTGCTGCGGCGTCGTCATCTGCATCGTCCCCCCCGGGAGATACAGAGGCCCCCCGAACTGGCCCGACGCACCCAGTTGGTTCGTCGCACCCAGTCCCGGCCGCACGCCTTCGCGTGATCCTAACATCATCCGCATCTGCCAGTGCGGGTCCGCTGGCGGCTCCATGGTCGCAAATAACCGCGACTCATTGTGGCTGCTCCCCGGCGCCACATAATACCGCATCCGCAGGTTCTCCTTCAACTGCCGCAACTCCGCCGACTTCTTCGAGTGTCTATAAACACACGGGTACACCCCACCCGCAAGAGTCCACACGGTGCATATGCCCCACGGTGCATATGCCCCACGGTGCATATGGTGGACTAGAAACGTGATCTTACATGTGCCAAAGAACAATGATACCGATGGGAATGGCGACCATGCCGGTGAGCAAGAGCCCGGTCTGCGCAACACACTCAATGAAATCCAAGTGGGACTTTGATACAGCGTGCTGCGTGTGAGTTTGGCACAGTGATGTGAGTTTGACACAGTGTGTAAGCGTGCGAGTTCAGTCGGTACCATCAGGATCATAGTCGCGCGGTCTGCGTACATGTCGAAAAAAAGAAAGCAGCAGAGCGCAGGAAGAGTTGCGGGGTTAGAGGGTGAAGCAAAGTTGGTTGACGTCTTCGTTGGTGATGGCGATGACTTTGGAGCCATGAAGACGTACAAGGCCGACGGCGCCACGGAAGCCAGTGACGGTGTCACGGCCGATGAGCATGCAGGAGCAGGGTCCCTGATGGAGGTTGACGAAACCGCCTCCGACGATACGGCGTGTGCCGTGTGCGTCTGAGTTGCGCACACTCGTGCCAGTAGTGTGTTTTTGAGTTGGGTCTGAACATTGGTCTGAGGCGTAGACCTGTACGTAGACACGTTCATCGGTTTCATGTATACATGGGAGAGTGAGTGGTTCATTCCAGACTAGAACGGACGCAGTTTTTTGTTTCGGTGTGCTCCATACGGTATGTTCACCAATACTAACAGAAACAACAAAGAGGAGGTTGTTTGGAAGGGCGAGACCCTCGACACTTAGAAGACGGAATTCTGTGCGGAGTTCGGAGAAGAGAGCGTGTGCTTGTGGACCAGCACGATCCGCAAACAAGCGACCATGTTCCTCATGCGCACGCATTCCCCGCAGAGTTTGGTCGAGCAATGCGCGCAATCGTCCAGCTGCGTTCGGTGTGTCCCAGACACACGGCACTAGTGTCACGTCTGGCGCAGGCGGCTCAGGTCTCACAGTTCGCGTCCAAAATGAACGCGACTCACGCCTCGCCAGACCCGGCGGACTCAACTCGTATGAACCTGAACCGTGGGGAACACCAACTACAAAGTGTCCCGTAAACATCGACCCGTTCCGATAACGCCACACACCATAACCACTTGGTGCACCCTGTCCCCATTGTCCCTCAAACACCAATCGCGCGCGCTCTGTCTCCCCGCCGTCATAATCCTCCCGGCCATGGATTTGGGTCTGACAATCCTCACCTTGACGGTTATAACATTTCTGACGGTCATGGTTCTGACGGTCATGGTTCTGACGGTCATGGTTCTGACGGTCATGGTTCTGACGGTCATGGTTCTGACGGTCGTGGTTCTGACGGTCGTGATTCTGACGGTCGTGATTCTGACGGTCGTGGTTCTGACGGTCGTGGCCCCGACCGCGGGTTTCGTAGAGACGACCGAACCCGTGTGGCTTGCCCTTCTGGCACTGGCCGCGGTAGAAGAGGCCGGGACCTAGACGCAGAAAGTCCACCGACTGGTCCGGTACGTCGAAACGCCACTGGCCGGCCACCAACAGCTGGCTACCCTGACGCAGCTCCCCGTAACCTTCCCGCCGGCCTTCGACAAAGTTACCTCTGACAACCACACGACAGTAACCAACCCCCCCCCCCC